GAATCATTGTCATTTGAGCAGATATTTGGTATCATGGTTATGTATTTTTTTAAAAGATTTTATTTATTTATTTGACAGACAGAGATCACAAGTAGGCAGAGAGGCAGGCAGAGAGAGAGAGGAAGAAGCAGGCTTCCCGCTGAGCAGAGAGCCCGATGTGGGGCTTGATCCCAGGAACCTAGGATCATGACCTGAGCCGAAGGCAGAGGCTTTAACCCACTGAGCCACCCAGGCACCCCTTTGGTTATGTATTTTAAAGAAACTGATTTTTTTAAGATCGATACCGAAATAGTCATGAATGAAATGACATGATGTTTCCTATTTGCTTCAAAATAATATGGGTCAATGCACAGAAGAAAGAAGATTGGCCAAGAGTTGATAATTGTTGAGACTGGATAATGGATACTTAAGGATTCATAATATCAGTCTGTTTATTTTTGCATATGCTTATGATTACCCTAATAAAAAAATGTTTTAAATAGTGGGTAAAATATTAAATGAATTAGTATCATCAAATCATCAGTTACTAAAAGAGACTATCAACACAAATTTGATTGCCGTAGTCTCAAGTTCCACAAGGGCAAGATTCATAGCTTAAGCTACTTTATATCCTGGACCTATGTCTTTTACATGTAATATTGTAGGAGCTAAATATATGGTTTTTTGGATGAATTAATGAACTTTATTCTTGTTGCTATAATAAATTCGCAGTGAATCCTTTCCAGCAAATATCACATATCCATGTAAACTGTATCTTATTAGACACTTCTCATTGAGTAGCATTGGCCCAGCATCGGATTATTCAAGCCAAAATCCTAGAATTATCTTTGCTTCCTTCTTTAACTTCATCTTCAATATCTGGTCCCTCACCAAATCCCATTGGTTCCACTTCCAAAATGTGCCCCATATCTGGCTACTCCTGTCACCTAGTTGCATCATCCATCATCGACTGTCTAGAGGGCTGAAACAGTCAGAGACCACTGGTAAGAAGAAAAGTACAATCCAGAGTCCTATTATTCTCCCAGTCTCCACTTCTCCCCTTCTACAGTCCATTCACCAGAAAGAGCCTAAGTGATGTTTTTAATGTCAATCAAGGTATGTCACTCCACCTCATAAAACCAGTCAATGATTCTTGTTGAATTTAGAATACAATCCATAACTTCCTATCACAGCAAACAAGGCCTGTGTGCTCTGGCTCATTTGGACTGTATCTTAATGACTCAGTTCTGTTCCGTGAACACAAACCCATCAGACACCTTGTACCCTGGAGCCATGTCCTTGCTTCTGTTGCCTGGACTGTCTTCCCCAGTTTCTCTGCATGATGGGCACTTTAGTTCCCCGTCCAAGTTCTCCCTTAGGGATACCGTCCCTGATGTGTAGTTTCCTCTAGCACTGACTATGAACTGCCTGGCTTATTTACTTATCACACATTTCCTGAAAAGAAGCTCTGTGTCTCTCTCCCATCATTTCTCCAGAGTCCACCATGATGCCTAACTTGTAAAAACCACATTTCATTGAAATCTAAGACATGATCAATTGTAGGTGGAAGTATTATATTATGTGCCACCAAGAAAATAAAAACTGCAATTAAACTATGGCACAATACTGAAGACTATTGATGATAAACAATCCTGACTTTTGAGATATTAAAATGCTGAAAAAAAATGTTTCCGTTAACTGATGAAACACGTATCTTGTTGAATACACAAATGAATACACTTTGCTTAATCATGATTACTAATCTGCTAGTGATGTTTTTTGAGGAAATTATTATGAGAAAGATACGTAGAGGCCAAGAGATTGCATAGGTCATGAGTAGCATTTTATTATGAAAAAGGAGATAGTATGAAGAACTATGAGTAATTCAAAGAACTGTATGAGTAATTTTTTCAAACTACCAATTACTAGCTTATCAGCAATGATTCAAATTTTGTAGATCCTGGGTGGGCCATAAAACTTGAATTCTCGGAAAAGCCTTTAAGAGACTCAAGCAGTTGTCCTGGAGGTTGATTCAGACCCTAAACTTGAAAAAGAAGGAGGGCAGAAAAGATGGGGACAGACATAGATTCAGAGAGAGTTCATAGTGGGAAGATGAGGAACCATGATCATGTTGCATCTATCTGCATAGTAAAATAGAGATCATTTTGTTCAGTGCAGCGGGGTAGGGATTTTGGAGCTTTCAGAAAGAAGAGAAGGTATGGAATAAGCCAAATGCAGAGAGTTTGAGAGCATGAAGAAATTGTGTGTTCTATGGAAATCGATAGGCGTGCAGACAGATTGGAAAAACACTGAAGAAAACAAAGTCTTCTGGTTGGATGTCAGATGGTAAGCCATACCCAAAGTGGTGTGGTGTGAGCACTCACTGCTGGAGAAGTGACAAGAGAACCTGCTCCCTTGAACTGCCTTGGATTGTTCTGGTCCCTAAACTATATTCCATTTCTATAAGAGCTGACTATCCCTGGGTGGCTCTGAACTCACTGCTTCTATTATTATCCTTTCTATGGCTAAAATAAATCTATAGGGGAGTGAGGTCAGGTTCAAACATTAACCTGGGAGGAAAAAAATTGACTCCCATCCTCTAAACTATGCTGTTCCTCAATAAACACGAGTCACTGGAAATGGCCCAAGGGAGCTCCTTCTATGTGGAGTGAAAAGAAATTGTTTTTCACTTGCTGAAAACTGGAGGGGTTTTTGTTTTGATTTTTTAATTTTGTTATGAGAACATCCAGACTTTTGGAACAGCTTCATGCTCTTGCCCTTATGCTCTGATTCCAGTTCATCTGTATGCCCTTAGCTTTCTACACCTGACTTTGTGGTCCAAGCTTACTGATCCTCTTTCAGGAGCTCTAAGGCTGTCATCTTAGGTTAGGATGCTTGTACCTTAGGGCAGCATACATTTGATCCATTTGGGAGGTGGGGAAAATCGGGAGTACCCCTGCTGCAGTGCCATACTCTCTTCCTACCTGGCCTTTGTCCATGTTGTACCTTCTGTTTGCTTGAAACCCCTTCACACAGCTTGGCGAGGTCCTACTAATCTTAAGATCTCGCTTGAAACTTCATTTCTTCCTAGAAGGCTCCTCTGAGTCTCCAAAGTGTCAGTTCCTGAGCCTCCCACATGTCCTCTCCTGACACCCTGTTTCTACCTGTCAGGCAGACTCACGGCTCTGGGTCATGATCACCTCTTTGCTGATGGGCACTGCAAACTTCTGTGCCTAACCCCAGCACCTGGCTCCGAAGCAGGCTTGATAAACATTGACAGAATATTAAAAGAGGAAACATGTATTCATTTTTTAAAGGTTTTAAATGCTTTGTTAACCCAGTTTCTAATAATGTCACAGGTGGGTTTTTTTATCTGTTTAAAAATCTTCCAAGGATTTATGTCTTGAGCTATAACTGAAAACAATGTATTAGAAAACTTAATTGGGTTTATAATAACATTTCATAACTCTAACGAGTGTAATAATAAATCTGATTGCAGCTATAAGCAGACATCATAAAAAGTAAAAATATTATTTTGGGCTGATATTTGAAAAACCTTTCTAGATTGAGTTTTGTACAATAGTTGTATAAAATTATGTAGCAATTGATACTTTCAGCAGGTTGATCCTAAGAAGGTTTATCTAAAGCCAGACTCCTTCATTTCATTATCAGTCTGGCTCATGTCCTTTATTCATATCAAATGTATCTTCATCCCATGCATCCTTCAGCCTGTGGCTTTGTAACTATTCATCGTCAGTCTGTGCCAGATAAACAGCAAAGTTAAAAGCAAAGTTACTATGATGTCGGTAGTGTGTTTTTTCAATTGTTCTTTGTAGTGATGTTTTTCTTCTCCCAGACAGCATAGTTTTTCCTCATTCCTTCCTCAGTTTTCATGGTCGGCTTTTTCTCATTAAGGTCAACAGACTTCTTAGAATGTCAGGTTCACCCAAGTGAAAAAGAAACAATTTAGCATTTTTTTGCCATTTGGAACTTTCACTGCCTCCCTTTGCTATATTAGGACATGCAAAAAGAGATTATGGTGCCATGATATATAAATACAGTAAACGCTTCTTGTTCAATACTTATGGAAAACATTTTTGGAACTCCTTAATTCTAAGTAGTTTATTTTCTTCATCTTTTGAAATTTGGTTATGTCCAGACTTTATGCTTTTATCTTTTGCTGTAATCTTTAATGCTAACCTTATCTAGAATCCCATACCAAATGCTAAATGTAGCATTCTAGTACATCCTTCTCCTCTCTCCTAACCTAACTGTGGTCCTGGGAAGAAATTCATTTTACAAATTACGTCAGTTTTAGCCAGATCTTGTATGGATTTTTTTTAAAAACCAGTGTGATTGGTGTGATTTTCTTACTTGTTCCTCTGATTCTGGGGACATAAAAACTACTGTGTATTCGTTACACAGAATAGTCAGGGAAAATGAGGTTATTACTGCAATATTGTTAAGCTAGTAGGTGATATAAATATATATATATGTATACACACACACACACACACATATATATATATATATATACACACACACACACACACACACACACACACTTTCAAAATCCTTTTTTTTTCCTTTATAGTAAAGCCAACCTAAGTTTAATGTTGAGACCCTGCAGTAAGCTTGGAAAATCTGAACCACCTTTTTATCCTTTAGCTGCCTTACCCTAAAGGCAGTTAAAGCCACAGGCTCACCAAAGAAGCAAATTATCATCCCATCCTTCTGGGTTTTTCCAGAAGGATGGGATGATAATTTGCTTCTTTGGTGAGCCTGCGGCTTAGGTCCATTTAAGTTCACAAATATAAGAGAATGCTTTGGAAACTTTATATAGTGATTATTTTGGTACTGCCTAATGTAGATACCAAAGTGATTACCATTTATTATGTTAGAAATCCTGAGAAATGATGGATAATCCTTTACTGTAATCATGACATAACCAATAATATATGAGGAGAAAATAGAAAGTTAACCAGTGCCTTTTTTTGTCTCCCATGTGCTCTTTCACACAGGTACAACTTGGCCAAGTAGAAATCAAATGCCCTATCACAGAATGTTTTGAATTCCTGGAAGAAAGAACGATTGTCTTTAACTTAACACATGAAGATTCCATCAAATATAAGTATTTCCTGGAACTTGGCCGTATTGATTCCAGCACCAAGCCATGTCCTCAGTGCAAGCACTTTACAACCTTCAAGAAAAAAGGACATATCCCTACCCCTTCCAGATCAGAAAGCAAATACAAAGTAAGCATGTTCACCAGAGTTGTGGGTTAGATGTCACATGATGCCAAATTAGGCCAACTTTTGGTGGGCATTAAGTGGGCTTCCTTCCCTTACCCAAGTCTAAGGTGAGTATATATTGGCTGTGATTCTGAAAATAAGTGGTTTGGGGAGGCTGATGATAAGAAAGCACTCCTGAGGATTTCCTTAAAGTTTTTCTTTGACTTTAACCATGTTCAAAATTCATTTAGTAGCCAAATGGAATGACTAATCTTTTAAAGTAACTGTCACTGCTATTACTAAATATTAAGGAAATATTAATCCTTTTTTTTTTTTAGTGTAAGTTTGACTTTTTCAGCGGACCCAATGTGATTGTCTTCTGGCTCCATCTATAATAAATGAATATAGTATAAAATGCTCTTCATTCAGGTACAAAATGCCAGTATGAGCTAGACTGTAAGCTAAGTTTGGGGGATGCAGTGGCAAATGTGACATAGTCCCTGCTCCAAAAATGTCTAATGAAGGTGAGAGAGATGTATGTTCTAAAATGACGGTTTAATATGATTAGTCAAAAGAAGAAAACAAAAACAAGAACCCCAGTACACTCGTGCTTTGAGAACACTGATGGAGGAGGAGAGGCTAGGACGTGAGGAGAGACTTCTTGGAGAAGACACAATTCTCCAGGAAGATAACCAGATAAACATTGGAGAACACGTTGGAGCAAGGAATGAAGAAATGAGTAAGAGCACAGGCCCTGAGGCTGAGGCAGCCACACTGGAAACAAATGCTTGGTGGGGCTGGTGGGGCTGGTGGGGAGACAGCCAGCAAGAGGCAGCTGGGCAGGTACTTAAAAGCAGATCGTGTTGAGTCTTACACTGAGCCCAGAAGTTTGGATTTAATTCTGTAGGCATTACAGAGAGATCATTCTGGCAGCATGAATAGTGGATGTCATGGGAGGGCAAGACTGAAGGCTGGGCGGCAAAGGCAGCCATTGTGGGATCTAATCCCTGATTCACAGCGCCTGCTGTCCCTCACCATTACCTGGGGGTCTTTTAGACAACCAGTGCCCTGGGCCCACCCCCAAGAACACTCTGGCACATTTTTGAGCCTCACTGGGTGTTGCTAGAGTGTAGCAGAACTGGGAACCTTTGCAGTAAATGAAGCAGGAAGAGGAGGTCTGTGGCCCTAGATTTTCATCCTTGTCATTACAGTAGAATGGCAGGGTGAGGTGATTTCAAAGGCTGTGTGAAGTCCTCTCCGCTCAAGGTAAGTCTTAGCCTGTGTTCTGGTCTTGGAAGCAGTGGTGGTATGGTATGCATTCTGTAGCTTTGAGGGACAATGGTTCAGCAAGTACTTCCCTCCGTGGGTTGCAAGGATGAGCTCCAGCAGGTTAGTCAAAACCTCTTAATGAGTAACTGGGCTTTGAAATGGCTTGGCTCTCATAGTCAGTCCTTTTATTTACTTATCTTTGTGAAGCCTAGGCTCATAACTAGCAGGAAACACCCCCCCCTTTTTTTTCTTCTCTAAAAAGTACCTTTTTGAGGTTGCAAAATGGTATAACTCAAATAATACACTCACAGTGATTTTGAATACTGACTTAATAACAAAAGCATACTTTTATTTGACTCTGTATGTTCTTAAAAGTTTAGTTATTTAGTTATTTTACAGAGAGAGAGAGACAGTGAGAGAGGGAACACAAGCATGGGGAGTGGGAGAGGGAGAAGCATGCTTCGCGTGCAGAACAGGGAGCCCAATGCGGGGCTCAGTCCCAGGATCCTGGGATCATGACCTGAGCTGAAGGCAGACGCTTAACAACTGAGGCACCCAGGTGCCCCAGGTTAAGTTATTTTTATTCCAATTTTATGTTGTTGATGTGATCAGAAATTGCTAGTTTTAGAAGGACTTCTTATCTCATAACAGCGTATTTTAGTTTTTTCTAAATTTTGTTTGGAATCATATATATATATGTACATATATGTATATATATACACACATATAATATATTTTAGTGTAATTTATTTGTTTATAAAATATATGTTGATACAATTAATATATATTTATAAAATATATGTATATAAACTCAGATTATACTATTTTGGAATTTTGGTATTTAAAACATGTATGCATAGAGTCAAAGTGAAAATCATTCAAAAATATACTGTTCTTATGAAATGGGTGAAAGGTGTAGTGTAAGGTGCAATTATAGCTGTAGTAAAATTTTATAGATCCCATTTCACCCCCAGATCACTAAGTCCTTTGATGATGAGCATTATTTATCAGAATGTGCATGTATTGAGAAGGAAATATGTAAAAATTGAAAAATATAAGATCCAATATTTGTATAATTTTGAGTGAACCAAGGGCATCCTGACAACATTTTCCTATGTCAGGCTTCCTCCAATGTCCATCAGTTGGGTTGTAGGTAAGAAGAGATGTAGGGGGCAAATGAATAAAGACCTCAAACTTAGTAAGCTCAGTCTTTTATTTCTGATGAACAGAGGAGAAGGATATTTGCTTTAGGAACAGGAGCAACTCAACACAAAATAAACATTTTGTCATAAGCAATGGAAATTCTTGGTAATGGGTGAGGGATGAAAATCTCAATATAAAGTAAAACTATTAAAGAATTTTCAAGAAAAATATAGCTACCACAAAATTGGGCGATGATTACTGTTATTACTCATCTTTACTCTTGTAGAAGAGAAGATCTCTAACTGAAAAGATAAATAATCCCCCCATTCTATACAGTACAAAGTTCTAGGGATAAGTCACACAATTCCTGAAGCAAAGATTTTTAGTATTTACTATAACATTCAGATAGCATTTTCCATCATTAAACTGTAAACTCTTATGTTAACATTAACTACTTGATTTGCATGTCCATACCTGTCTGGATATTATGAGTAAGGAGAGCTTGGACAAGGATGCATCAACAAATCAACTGTGACTTTCATGGTTATAGCATACCACCCTACATTGAGACTGTTATCCTTCTTCTCTGTGGTAAATGAATGGCTATTTTTTAGGTTTGCCCTATTTTAAAAAATTCTGTTTTCCCAATAACAGACCCTACTTCCAAATGGTATAGTCCATTATAACTTTAAGAGTATTGAATTCAAATACCTGAATGTAATGAACTGAGTCATAACCCAACAGAAACAAAAAGAAAGATTACTATGAATGTCTTACATGTCTTAGCAATTTAAAATCTCTTTATAATATTGTTTACAGCCTAAATGGGTTTTGTACCTATTGATGAAACCCTTATAATAGGTATTTCAATATTACTCTTTTTGTGTCATTGAAATATAATGTTGTGATCCAAGATGTCACTTCTTGAACATTTATTATGATTTCTGTCATTGAGAAGCACTTAAATAGAAGGTTAAAATTGCTTGGAAATATCAGCTATTTTATAACAGGAAATACCTTTTGATACATCTCACATGAAATTTGAAATCTAAAATATCATGTGCAGGATTTCATTTAAATAGGTAAATAGTAAATACCACTTTTAATTTTTTTTTTGTACTTTGCAATTGAAAAGGGAGTAAACAGAATATATCAACAAGCAGAAAGAAGAACTTCTAGGTGCCAATACGTGCTTCCAAGCCCTCACTCAACATCTCCCTTCTAACAAAATTTTGAGTACACAGAGCTTTTCATTATGTTCTGAACTCCATTAAACTACTACTGTATCAAATAGGACAAGTATATTCTTGAATGGAGAGATTACATTGAGACAACTTTGCCTTTGTGCAAATTCAGTCTTTCTCATTAATAATATTTGTCTTCTTATTCGTACAACTCTTGTCATGAGGCAAACTATTTCACCATTCCATTTCTTCAACGTTAATTTCAAATCCAATAAAAAAATCTAATGTCTCACCGAAACAGTTCCTAGGATGCATTAGTGCAACTGCATATCAATACAGTGAACACATTAGCGATGGGAAAATGAAAATGCTGAAGTTGTGGCTTTAATGGTGCTCATGTGATGCCTGGTGACAGACACATCCCCAGCACCAGAAGTTTTTCTCCATAGCTACTATCATCTGGGATTTTATGGTGTTATTGTGTGGTTATTTGCTTAAAGTCTCTCCCACTCATTTCTAGGAGGCCAGGTCCAGGCATGCTGACTGCTGAAAAGCTGTGTCAACCCCTGTGTCTGATAGATTGCACTCTGAAATTATATTTGTTGGAGGAAATAATAAACGGGCCAATGCATATATAATAATGTGTACCGTAGTAAATGTGGGTAGAAAATGCTGAGATCACTGGGAGAAGAAAGGACAGGAGAGATTAGAAAGACTTCAATAAGAGTAAACTGAGCTTTGAAATGTTTAATTTTCCAAGCTGGAAAAGGTGGGTCAGAGCACTGGCTTCCAACTATGTTTAAACTCAGTCTGCCACATATGAGCTCTGACCCTGTGAGTAGAGTTTTCACATGTTTTACTGGGGTTAGTAATAGTACCTGTCAGAAGGGCAGATTAAGGATTAAACAGGGTCACACATGTAAAGTGCTTAGCACTGTGTCTGATGCATCCTAAGTGCTCAACATTTGCTAGAAATTACCACGTTTGCTCTCATTATTAGGCAGTGGCCACAGAATAAGCAACCCTGAGATATTGGGATGGAGATAGAGGAGTCAAGAACAAAATAGGTGGAATGAAAGTTTGGGTCACTGATGGATGGTGGGAACAAAGGAGGGATGATATTGACCATGTCTTGAAGAAGAAGAACAGGCTTGGGGAGTGAAAAACAAATTCGGTTTGAAATGTATTGATGATGTTAAGTTTGAAGACCCTTGGGGCTTCAAAGAGATCTCTAAGAAGTATGGATCTTATGAGAAGGGATCTGATGACAAGCATTAATATTTGAGGAGCTTGAGGCAGAGGGAGGTGACTTTCACAGAAATGGATAAAACATATTCTGAGAGGTAGAGAAAGTGATCTTTTTTCATGAAAAAGAGTTGAGAATTACAAATGATTAAATAGTCATTTTATGCCTTAAGAGTTGTACTG